CTCTGTATATGGGGCCAGTGTCCTACCCACTGAGCATAGGCACCACCCCATTTTCTTATTTGTTATACTTATCATCTTTCTTTGCTGATGGAATGCAAACTCTACTAAGGCAGGGGGTTTTCTCTGTTTTTCCTTGCTATGCTCAGCACGCTATAACTACTCAGAAATACTTAATGGGTAGGTTTGGCTGACCGGAGTGTTCTCTCCTCACCTGCTCCACGTCTTAAATGCGTTGCTGGCCCGTTTGAAGAGATGCCCTTCCATGACCAGACCTCCAGGGCCCTCCCTTAGGCTTGGCTCTGGCTCCTCTCCACCCAGCTCCTGGAGGTACACAGGGTGAAATAGCAACTGAGGTGGGCAGAGACAGTTGCCTGTCTCCTCCTGCCCACAGTCCCAGCCCTTACCTTCTGCTTCAGCAGCACATGTCTCTGCTCCATGTCCCTCTTCTCTCGAGCTGAATTTAAGACCAGCTGGTGCAACTGGGCATCGGAGGGGCATCGGAGATGTTCACACCCCTTTTTCCCCAATTAGGCAGGGAAGTCATCTCAGCATCCCCTCCCTTCCTACATCACCTGCCTATTCCCTGGGGCCTTACCTGGGCACCCAGCTCCTTGCGATACTGAGCCAGGTGGCTCAGCTCCTCATGGCCCTGCTGGAAATGGGTAGCCTGGGCTTCCACCAAACGCAGCACCTGGGGGACAAGGTAGTAATATCTCTCCCCTCCGCTTGCCTGTTTATGCTTTTTGTCAGCAGGTTCCTCTCACCTTACCCTCGCCACCACTATAACTTACAAACTCCATGATGTCAAACTTCCTCTTTTCCTCAATCACATTGATCTGAGGACTCAAAAAGACCTCAGGTCAGTCTTGAAAACATAGCACTCCCTCCCACTGCACAACAGGGACTTCCCAGCCTTGAGGTGACACCTGAAGCCCTGGTACCCAGGAAGACAGGTTGGGGCAGGCACCTGCAGGGCATAATCCAATGCCCGTCCCCGGTACCCAGCTCGAGCAGTCCTCAAAGAAGCTCCCGCCTCTTCTGCCTCCTGGGCTCGGCGCCTAGGGACCTCCGCATTGTGGGTAAGGGCAGCCTCCAGGCTCTCAGCCCCCCGCCAGAAATCCCGGCGAGCCTCTCGGAAACCCCGAAGACCTCTGGGTGGGGACAGAATCACAGATGACACCCGCCTGCCTGGGCAGAAACTTCCTAAGAAATGGCCTGCCCGTATCCCTTCAGTTAGCCTCTACACAGTCAGAAATCCAGAGGGATCCTTGGAATGGAAGGACAGAAGTCAGGCCACCAGAAAACCCCTAATCTCACAACTCCTTCATTTGAGAAGGCCTTGTGGTAATGGGAAGAGGACTGGAGGGCAGGCTTCTGGGAAATAAGACCCCCTTCCCTCCCATCTCACTCCTTGACCAGGGTCTGGATTTGCTGCTGCAGCATGTGTTGAATGGCATCTAGAAGCTCCTGAGGGAAGAGGTTGGGAAGTTAAGGGTCAGGACCACAAATAACCTTGTGCCCTGCCCTCATCCTCCCCTCCCCTACTCACTGTATGGCTGTCCAGCTTGTGGCTCAGGCTCACAGTGAATTTGTCCAGACACTCCTAAGCAGGAAGAAGCACAGAGAGAGCACCAGGTATGGGGTGGCTGTAGACCAAGCCTACTCTGGCTGTCTCCAATGGAAGCCAGCCCTGCTCTGCCCTGGGACCTGCAGACACCAGGCCAGCACTCTTCTTCCATAGCATTTTTTTTTTTTTTTGGATACAGTCTCACTATGTCGTCCTTGGTAGAGTGCCCTGGCATCACAGCTCACAGCAACCTCCAACTCTTGGGCTTATGGGATTCTCTTGCCTCAGCCTCCCAAGCAGCTGGGTCAGGCACCTGCCACAATGCCTGGCTCCTTTTTGTTGCAGTTGTCATTGTTGTTTAGCTGGCCTGGGCCGGGTTTGAACCTGCCACCCTCGGTGTATGTAGCTGGCACTGTAACCACTGCTGAGCCACACAGTCTCTTCATCCCAGACCCTATCCCCCAGCTTAGACCCTCCACATACCGCCATCATGGGCTCCGGGGGACCCAGACGAGCCAGGTCACAAATGCCAACAATGAAGGCGCGGCTGGCAGCAAGGTAATGGCGCCCACTCTCCAGGAGGCCAGTGCCCAGCTTGAGGAGCTAGGAAAAGAGGCCAACAGGGCACTGAGCTACCAGGCCAGCTGCCATACCAGGTGATGCCCCACCCCTGCCCCACTTCCTCTCTCACCTTGCCCCCTCCAACCCATTTCTAACACACCTGGTGTGTTCTCACCTCTGCTTCTTTGCTCTACTGCCCTGTGCCTGAAATGAAATCCCTGCTCATTCCCCTGAGCCTGTGGCCAATACCACTGTTAGCTTAGCCTCCAAAACATCTTTCCTCATCCACTCCCACCTGTTTCTCCCTGCCCTGCCTACCTGCTTGGATCCAGAGCTTCCTGAAAACTCCATCCTCCTGCACTGTCTGGCACATAGGATGAATTATCTACGTGGTTTGTATTAAATTCTACAATATTTACTGTCTGGAGTTGTCCTATTCTGTGCTCATTGAACATTCTCTTGTAAATATTAATTGGTCACCCAGGCCACAGGGTCAGGGCCAAGATGGGATGCTCTCGGGGCCCATCCTATCTGGCCCTTTCCACTGACAACCAGGGGCAAGTGGCTGGCCTGAGAAGGGTCTCTCTGGGTGATGAGAACCTTGAGTCAATCTCCTAACCCCTGCTTCTTGTCTCTTGCAGGACTATGACTACATTTTCTGAGGTGATACCACTTGGCTCTAGCCTGAATCATGAACCAAGTGTCTGAGGAGCCCTTCAGCTCAGCTCGGGACAGGAGACTATGATGGAATTCTGTTTTTGGTTTTTTTTTTTTTTTTAGACAGAGCCTCAAGCTATCCCCCTGGGTAGAGTGCTGTGGCATCACAGCTCACAGCAACCTCCAACTCCTGGGCTTAAGCATGTCTCCTGCCTCAGCCTCCCAAGTAGCTGGGACCACGGGCGCCCGTCACAACGCCCTGCTATTTTTTGGTTGCAGCCATCGTTGTTTGGTGGGCCCGGGCTGGATTTGAACCTGCCACCTTAGGTGTATGTGGCTGGCGTCTTAGCCACTTGAGCCACAGGCGCCGAGCCCTAATGATGGAGTTCTGTGACGAAATCTAGGGCAGCAGGAGCTCAGAAAGTGTGGGCTACACAGGTGTTCAGTGTACTTTTGTTGAACTGGAAAACATTTTCTGAGGCTTGTGGAGGCTTCATTAAAATACAGCTTGACTTGAAGGTGTCTGGCATGAGCAGTAATGATTAGAAAACTGACCAAGGGGTGGCACCTTTGGCTCAGTGACCCCAGCCCCATATACTGAGGATGGCGGGTTCAAATCTAGCTCCAGCCAAACTGCAACAAAAAATAGCCAGGCGTTGTGGAGGGTGCCTATAGTCCCAGCTATTTGGGAGGCTGAGGCAAGAGACTCACCTAAGCCCAAGAGCTGCAGGTTGCTGTGAGCTGTGATCCCATGGCACTCTACTGAGGGCAACAAAGTGAGACTGTGTCTCTAAAAAAAAAAAAAGAAAGAAAGAAAGAAAAAAAACTGACCAAGAACAAATCTTTTGTTTGTTTTGTTTTGAGACCAGGTCTGGCTTTGTCACTTGGGCTAGGGTTCAGTGGTGTCATCATAGCTCACTGCAACCTTAGACTCCTGGGCTCAAGTGATCCTCTTGCCTCAGTCTCCTGAGTAGCTGGGACTACATACACCAACATGTCCAGGTAATTTTTCTGTTTTTTGTAGAGACTCATTCTTGCTCAGGGTGGTCTCAAACTTGTAACTTTAAGTGATCCTCCCTCTCAGCTTTCCAGAGTGCTAGGATTACAGGCATGAGCCACATTGCAACTGCCATGATCAAATCTGATCAGATATCACCACCAGGTATCTGTAATATGGGATAAGGGAGCATACAACTCAACTCATTTGATATGCCGGAGGTGGTGGGTTCAAACCCAGCCCCGGCCAAAAACTGCAAAAAAAAAAGGATAATTGGGAAGTCTTAAAATATTTTAAAAGCAAGCAATATACCACTAAAATAATGATCAGGTATGCATGGGTTTGGATTTATGGCAGGCCTGTTCCCCTGAGCCTCTCATAGTGCCCCATTGCCAGAGCAAACTATGGCCCTGAACCATTGCCTGGCCTCTGTGTCTATAGGCTGCTGGCATTGAAGTGGGTTGCACAGAGGAAAAAAAAAAAAAACACAACTCACTCTGCGGATTTGGGGAACTGTGTGTCTAATTTTTTTCCTTACCCACCCCAGACCCTTCCCCTTATATACATATGAGTAAGGAATTTTGATAAGACTGAACTAGTAAAAAATTGGCACATCCATACAACAGAATAGTACTCTGGGTCGGGCATGGTGGCTCAAGCCTGTAAACCTAGTACTCTGGGAGGCCCAGGTGGGTGGATTGCCTGAACTCACAAGTTCGAGACCAGCCTGAGCCAGAATGAGACCTCATCTCTAAAAATAGCTGGGTGTTGTGGAAGGCACCTGTAGTTCCAGCTACTTGGGAGGCTGAGGCAAGAGAATTGCTTAAGTCCAAGAGTTTGAGGTTGCTATGAACTGTGATATCACAGCACTCTTCCAAGGGCAATAAAGTGAGACTCTGTCTCAAAAAAAAAAAAAAAAAAAAAAAGGAACTCTGGCATCTCTACTAAAAATAGAAAAACTAGGTGGGCATTGTGGGAGGCACTTATAGTCTCAGCTACTTGGGAGGCTGAGGCAGGAGGATCACTTAAGCCCAGGAGGTTGCTGTGAGTTAGGCTGATAGACCATGGCACTCTAACCTGGGCAACAGAGTGAAACTCTGTCTCAAAAAAAAAAAAAAAAAAAGGGCGGTGCCTATGGCTCAAAGGAGTAGGGCACCAGCCCTATGTACCGGAGGTGGTGGGTTCAAACCTGGCCTCAGACAAAAACTGCAAAAAACAAAAAACAAAAAACTAGTACTCAGTAACTATAAGGAATGAATTATTGATATCTGTAACAACTTAGATAAACACCAAAGACATTATTCTAAGTAGGAAAAAAATCTGGGGGCGGCACATGTGGTTCAAAGGAGTAGGGTGCCGGCCTCATATGCTACAGGTGGTGGGTTCAAACCCAGCCCCGGCCAAAAACTGCAAAAAAAAAAAAAAAAAAAAAAGCTAATCTGGCAAAGTCACATACTATATGACTCCATTTGTATAACATTCTAGAAATGATGAAATGTAGAGATGGAAAACAAATCAGTGGTTGTCATGAATCAGAGAAGGGGAAGAGGGTATGAAGGATATCCTATAAAGGCACAGCACCAAGGAATTCCTTTGTAGTGATAGATGTTCTATATCTTGAATGTGGCAATGGTTATATGAATCTGCACATGTGATAAAGTGCCACAGAAGTATACATGAAGACATTAAAAAAACAAAAAGTATAGGTAAAATGTAAAATTAGCGTCTATAGACTTTGTTGTTAATTGTGTTGAGCCAGTGTTAAATTCCTGAGCTGGGGCCGGGCACAGTGGCTCACGCCTGTGATCCTAGCACTCTGGGAGGCTGAGGTGGGTGGATTGCTTGAGCTCATGAGTTCAAGACCAGGCTGAGCAAAAGCAAGACCCCGTCTCTACTAAAAATAGAAAAACTGAGGCAAGAGGATTGCTTGAACCCAAGTGGAGGTTGCTGTGAGCTATGACACCATGGCACTCTACCCAGGGTGACAGCTTGAGACTCTTGTCTCAAAAAAAAAAAAAAAATTCCTGGGCTGGTTGTGGTGGCTCACGCCTATATCCTACCACTCTGGGAGGTGGAGGTGGAAGCACAGCTTAAGGTCAGGAGTTGGAGACCAGCCTGAGCAAGAGTAAAACCCTGTATCTACTAAAAATAGAAAAATTAGGCAGGAGTTGTGGTGAGTGTTTATCATCCCAGGTACCTGTGAGGCTGAGGCAAAAGGATCTCTTAAGCCCAGGAGTTGGATGTTGCTGTGAACTATGATGCCACAGCACTTTACCCAAGGCCACAGAATGAGACTCTGTCTCAAAAAAAAAAAAAAGAATTTGTTACCTCTTAGTTTTCAGGCCCTGGGGATTGAGCAAAAATAAATCTTAAAAGCATCTCA